TGTTCAAGTATATGTTTCAAGGTAATGTTGCCCAGTGGATAGCGTACCGGTCTGTGGACTAGCGGATTCAGGACTCGCGTCCAGTTACTGAAAGAGAATTATACTCCATACTTTGAGGTCGTCTGTGAGAGTCAAATTCTACTATTTTGTCCAAGAGTTGGTGGTGAATGCTGTTGACTAGACATCTTCCCTCTAGTCTGTTAGTTCTAAATTATGAACGACAAGCGCAGATAACCCTTGTGTATTTTTTGCGAGAATATCCGAACACAAACATGGAAATATTATGTTGTTTTATTGATGTTTGACTAGTTTGATTTATCATATATCCGGGGCCAGGTGTGGTCACGTGTATAACGAGCTGAGCTGTGAATCAAAAGGTTCAGGGTGTGATAATTGATGCCGATGAACACGCTCCGCGTTTTCAGTTTCAGGTGCGTTATAAAAGTGACAGTCAATCCTGTTATTTGGTTCAAACAGCTGGACAAAGTCCTTGTGGGGCGGTAACTGCTGGCTGCCTGCCTTCCTTTTTATCAGTGTTCAAAATTAGAAACTGCTATATCTGAATCCCATGGTCTCTGCTCTAGTTGTATAACTCATGTTTCATTACGTTGACCAATCTTCCTTAATGTGTCTTGTAACAAACATTGGGTGTTATTTGGCTGTTGGCCGTCGAATAGTCAACTGGTAACTGGCTACCATTGGCTCTTCCAGTGATTAACTGGCTGTCAGATGCGGACAGCTATTCAAAACCCTGACATTGAAATGAGGTTGCTCTGAAATAACTTTAACAATTTTTACAAGGATTATTCAGGGAGGACGTTCTAGTTTCCTTGGAGGTAAAAAAAACAACAACAACTCAATTGTATAATAGTTTCGGTCTTATAGCAAACTTCCTTAAAATTTGTGGGTGACTTTGTATCAGATTCTTTCCTGGATATTTTGTTTCCGATGTTTAACCGATCTCTTCTTCATTTATTCTGTGAGTTTTGTCTAAATATGCTGTTAGGTTCGAGAGCGGACACTATGGGAAAACTTCACTTTTAATATTCTTGTTTGCACTCTTTGTTATTTCTCTTGAATAGTAGTTTTGAAAGGTTTTAATTTTACTGTTGGGTAAGTCTAAGTATAATCTATAGTTTAAATATACACTTTCCTGATTGGTTCTAGTCTGGAGACTATCAGTTGTGAAATTATTTTAATCTTGTCATTAATTATTTAAGACTTGTATCTTTTTGTTTTGCCATGAACATATTTACAAGCATGTTGATGAGTAAAATAACTTCATATTCAAATCAAATAAATAAATAACTGAAGGATGGACATCCTGAACTTGAAATTTCCCAGAATCCACTTGACCCAGAGAATCTAACGTGTATGTTATTTTTTCTTTTCAAGTTGACACTGTTTAGTGTTCTTTGTGTTTTTAAAACCTAGGATAGGTAATTGGTTACTTTTTCAAATAAACATCGTTCATGTATATATATATATATATATATCCCACATCGAGTTTAAGAACTTAAAACGTGTTTGCTGCTCATAGATGTCTGCTGAAAAAAAAAAAGGGTCTGCTAGTAAAAAAAATCGCTATACATATTCTTTTCATTTCACAATTCAGAATTACATTTCCCCCATAAAAATGAAAACGATATATCAATTGGTAAACCTAAACCCTAATCTTGTTTAAACCTATAGAAAAATGATAAACAACATCTACCGCCTTCAGTGATTGACAAGGAAAATGTCTGGTGACGAAAGAGTTGTCATAAAAATATTCGTTGACGAAAATGGAATTGTAAACGACGAAAAGGCCCGTTACACCCGAATCACAGTAATTTTGTTACACCCGAAATACGGTAATTTTGTTACACCCGAAATACAGTAATTTTGTTACACCCGAATACAGTAATTTTGTTACACCCGAATCACAGTAATTTTGTTACACCCGAATTACAGTAATTTTGTTACACCCGAATTACAGTAATTTTGTTACACCCGAAATACAGTAATTTTGTTACACCCGAAATACAGTAATTTTGTTACACCCGAATCACAGTAATTGTAAACGATGAAAAGGCCCGTTACACCCGAATTACAGTAATTTTGTTACACCCGAATCACAGTAATTTTGTTACATCCGAATCACGGTAATTGTAAACGATGAAAAGGCCCGTTACACCCGAATCACAGTAATTTTGTTACATCCGAATCACGGTAATTGTAAACGATGAAAAGGCCCGTTACACCCGAATCACAGTAATTTTGTTACATCCGAATCACGGTAATT